AGAGAATTGGGTTGAGGAAAGGAAGAAATAATAGGCTGTGTATCAATAGGCTAGTGAGTAGAATTAATTTTTCTAAAAGGAAATATTTTTTTTAATTGAACAAATTGTTTCAATAGTAAAAAATCTCTATTATCTAAATCAAGGATGAGATATCCTTTGGTTCCCGTTTGATATCCTAAAAAAACACCACGTTTTGTCCGAACATCAAATTTTTGACGAGGAAATTTGTTGAAGTATAACTCAGATAACTAAAAACTTTTAAAATAGAAAATTTTGGATTGTGTTTGTGTAATAATTCAAAAGGAATTTTATTGTCAATGACGAGGGATGGAATGCGATTTATTACATTAACAGCGTGTTTAACATCATATGACCAATAATGTTTTGAAAGTTGAGATTGAAACGTAAGAGCCCTAACAAGATTCAGAATGTGTTGATGTTTTCTCTTAACTCTATCATTTTGCTGAGCAGTATAAACATAACTTATTTGATGAAAAATTCCTTTAGAGCAAAATTTTTTTTTTTGAAGAAATTTAGGACCATTTATGAGCTTATGTATTTAATGGAAAGATTGAATTGGTTTTCAATTAAAAAAACAAAATTTTGAACATGTGTACGAACATCCCCTTTAGTTTTAAGAAGAATTATCATGTATAATAACTAAAATCATTCACAATAGCTAAAAAATATTTGTGATCATGAATAGAAGATTGAGAAAAAGGGTTCCAAATATCCATATGAATCAAATAAAAAAAAATGTAAGCTCTATTAGCACTTGGAGAATATGATAACTTCTTTTGTTTAGCTAAGTGACAAATATCACATTCTCATTGACATATTTAGAAATAAAAGGAAAATTAACATGAAGAGTGTCAAGGCGATTTCTAGAGAGATGACCAAATCTAAAATGTCAAAGTTGGTGACAAGTGGAGTGGAGAAATTACGGAAGAAGGTCGCTTTGGAAAAATTATGTTTGTAGTTGGTGTGTGTCTTTGAGTGATATAATCCATGCTTCAACTTAACTAAACCAATAATCTTCAACGTCTTATTTTCTTGTATTTGACATTGAAAATTAGAAAAATTAAGTATGTAGTCTGTAGAAATCAAGAGTTTAGAAATTTAAAGCAAATTAAATTTGAAATTAGGCATAAAGAATATCACAAATGATAAGTTGAAGCCACAATTGAACATTGCCTGAAAAATGAGTAATAACTATAAATCTGTTAGGTAGGTTAATATGTATGGGTTTAATTTTAGAAAAAATTAGGGAGTTGTCAAAAGAATAAGTGATGTGATCAATGACCTCTTAATCAATAATCGATAATGTTTGATGGGTGTGATGTGTGTATAGTTATTAAATGATATATGATTGTAACAAAAAAAAAAATACCAAGATCCATATTACTAGGATCATAAGGGCCAACGCTGGACATTTATGTAAGATTGATGTGTTTGGGTTGAGAAGATGCTACTGGACCATTGCTTTGTTATTGAAGAAGACTGTGTTATTGAGCCTTAGTGAAGCATTTTTTGTTGGAGAAAGTTCGATTATTGCTATCGAATTGTCCTGTAGGGGTGCCTCCTTCGCGTCCTTTCCCAAAAGCAGCATTGATAATTATGTTGGGTTCTTCAGTGATTGACGACAAAGAGTTATGACAATCTTGTTGAATAATCATGGAAAACATGTCGTTTTGAGGACAAACAACAACAAAATGCTCCTCAAAGCCTTTTTGGAAATAGATGATAAAATCTTATTCGTGATATAATTTTACAAAACAAGTACAATTTGTATAAGGACATAAATTATCAAGTTACTCGCACATAGATTTGAGTGTTGTAAAGTAATCGTTAACAAAACGAGAGCCTTGCTTAAGACAATATATTTTTTCTTGGAGCTTTGCGATGTGAAGTAGATCACTTTGAGAAAAAATGTTCATGGAGATCTGTCCAGTGGTTTGTTGCATGGTCCAGGAAGATGACACTTTGTGCAATGGATATGGTGACAAGGAATTTAGCAAGACATAACCAAGGTATTACAATATTCCCAAGAGGGATAAGAAGGGTTATGGACATCTACACTACAAAAAAAAAAACTTATTATCTACGGGTAAAAATCCGTAGGTAATGTCATTATTGGATAATTCCGTAGGTAATTACCTACGGACTATAATCCATAGATAATGCACTCGCTTGAACAAAATATATTTATTTACTATAACCCCCCTCCCCTTTATATTATATTTTTAGAACTTTGAATTATTCGAACCTAGTTGGAAGTCGATACTCCAACCACTAAGCTATTAGGATATTTTGATAATAACTTACAAATAAATTATATTTATATATTTATATATTTATATTTTTTTATATTTATATATTTTATATTTATATATTTTATATTTATATATTTACACGAATAAATATAAATATAATTTATTTGTAAGTTATTATTAGAATATTCTAATAGTTTAGTGGTTAGAGTACCAGTTTTCAACTTAAGGTACTGGGTTCAATTCTTGCTATTGACAATTCTTTTAATTTAATATAATTTACTTACGGATAATATTCGTAGGTAATGGATAACTTTACATACAATTAGATATAATTTACCCACGGATAGAATTCCATAGGTAATGTACAATTTACCTACGGATTTTTATCCGTAAGTAATATTTTGTAGATAATAAGTTTTTTTTTGTAGTGCTAGTGTATGTATGATACCATCTAGAGTTAGAGAAATAAAGGTAAAGGATGAATTTTCATGGAGGTAAATATGATATGGACTTGAAGGATCAAGACAATGATTAGACCATATTATGGTAGCATGACAAAAAACATTTGAGATTTTAATAAGGAATCGGCAAAGCTCTAGGTGGAGCTTTGACACCATAAAAGAAAACTAGAAATGTAAAAAGGCTCAAGTAAAAATGATAATAAGAAAAATGGTGTGTCTTATTAATAGAGGCTAAAAGATATATATACAAATTACACATTATAACATGAAGAAAAAGATAAAAGATGAAAACATAAAATAACACTTGAACATATTTTATAATGTTGATAACCTAATGTAATTATGACAAAAAATACAAAAAATAATTCTAATTGAAGTTTTGTATTTTATTTATTTACTATAATATTGTCATTATAAATCATTATTGCATGTTAAATATTGTTTGTTTTGAAATATATATATTGAGATTCATAAATTTAGTAAAAAAAAATATAAAATTAAGATTTCTTATTTTGAGAAAGTCAACATTTATTGTTTATGATTACGGTAATGTGTGATCAACATTTATTTTTTATAATTTTAGTCACATCACTCTTATTACAAAAGCATTCAAATTTATATTAATAGGTAAATTTAAAAAAATCTCTAAAGTAATATTAATAAATATTAATTATATTATTTTTTGAAATTATTACATTATTATATTATAAATAATTATACTGAGATTTGTTATATTAAATTTAAACTGAGTCCATTAAAATTTGGTTATTTCTTCGTATATTTCAATAATTTTTTCTTCACCCTATAATACATGTAAAATATAAAAAAGTATGATTGCAATACTTTTTTCTCTTTCGTGTTGCGTCTCTATACTAACACTTGTATCTCTATTTGTTACGTCTTCACTCAAGTATAATTTTTATTTAAAGATTAAAAAATTGTAGGTAATTTATGTTTTAAAATCTCATATAAAAAAATATTTGATTTGTATTTATAAAATTTTTGAATTTGAATTTTGTTTTTTATAAATGTATTTAAGATTGTTGAATTTAAAATATATTTTTAAAAAATATAATAAAAAAATAGTAACTCAATTTTTGAAAAAAAATTCGAATTGACCTTTAAGTTTTATAAAAACATTCTCAAACCAGTATTCAGAAATATATTTTTGGAAAACCTATTTCTAAAAAACTTCCAAAAAAAATCAATTTAAAATTTTTTAAAATAAACTTTCCGAAACCTATTTATATTAAATATAATATTATCATCTTAGATCAAAATGAATTCCTCGATTAGGGATTTTAAAAAAAAAACAGGCTTAAAAACTTTGTTGTGTTAGCCTGGCCCAACTTTGTAAGCCCACGTGCTCAGCCTGCATTCGTTCACAGCACCGCAATCCCTAATCCCGTGTTTTCCTTCCCCAATTTTTCACCGCACCAGAGCAGTACGTGAAAATTGCAAGTTCAACACTTTCTTCCTGAAGGTAAAGCATGCTTTCTCTCTTTCCTTTTTTCTTTTTAATTAAAGGAAAGTCTGTGTTTTCATAGATATATAGATAGATAGGACAGACAAGTTCAACTCGCAAATCCCCCTCACTGTTTTTATTAATTCCTCAGTCCTTTGTTTGTTTGTTGCGAGCTGGCTGTGATTCAACCATAGTTGCTGTCTTGTTTTGTATGAATTGTGAAATATGCATATTGTATATGGGGCAAAAAATATGAGATGGGCATTTGGATTCGGATTGTAACAGGAGTGTTTTTACATGTTCTCCGGGAATATATGTTTTCGGCTTTAGATCACTTCCAAATTCGTTTTCTCATTCTGGGGTGTTTATTGAAAGGAAAATGACGAGTATACACCCAAATATTAATTGACACCTTGATAGATAAATAGAGAGAAATGTGGGTATGATAGGTGGTATCATAGGAAGAGAAATAGAAAGTTGTGTTAGGCTGTTTCGTTGGTGTGATGGGGTGTTCGCATATCATTGCTGTTTTTGAAATTGGAAGTGTCTGAAGTTGATGTTTTACACCCGTAGTATGCTCTAGCTTCTATTATGGTGATCTCTTCTGTTTGAAGTGACTGGGGTGAGAATGTGGATGAATATCTGAAGTTGTACTTGTGATCATATATGTCATATGTGTGGTTCACAGCTCAACCTTAAAATGTTGTGAAATTGTTTCAGGGGTGGTGCTCCTAGTTTGTTGAAAGTGTATCTTTTCCAACATCTTGGTTGCATGAGTCACTATTTTGATTGAACAGAAAGATGAGGTTTACCCCCCTTTCCAGATTAATCTGCCGTTTCCCTCGGTGGCATACATGTGGACCTTTTCAATCTCGAGCCTTACAGACTGATTTTGTTCCTAAAGACCCTCAGGCTAAGCCAATAAAGTACAAAATTCCTCAATTCTATGATCCTTATGGCCCCAGACCTCCACCCTCAGAAAAGATCATTCAGCTTGCAGAACGAATTGGAGAATTATCGGAGGAAGAACGTGGCCAAATTATGCCTACTTTGGCAGATAGATTAAATCTTCCAAAATTGCAGCCAATTTCCACAGATGGCTTGGACATGGGTCCAGAAGGTGGAGCTGCTGGACCAAAGGTTGAGGAGAAAAAGGCAGAGAAAACAGCTTTTGATGTGAAGTTGGAGAAATTTGATACTGCTGCAAAGATCAAGGTGATTAAGGAGGTAAGAGCATTTACTAACCTGGGATTGAAAGAGGCCAAAGATCTTGTTGAAAAGGTTCCAGTCGTGCTAAAACAAGGAGTCACAAAAGAGGAGGCAAATGACATAATAGAAAAAATAAAAGCTGCTGGTGGAGTTGCAGTAATGGAGTAGAATTTTGATTGTTGGTTGGGATCACAGTTTTCTTTGATGTATGTTTTTAAGTTGCCTTACCCATGGTTATTCGGGAATGAATTTTAGAAGAAAATTCCAAAGGCACGATGCAGATTTAAGAATTAAGAACCAACTATTGAATAATCTATTTGAATCAATTTTTTTGTTAGTTGAGTTTTCTAGTTCAACTGTATCACTTGTAACTGCAGTGTTGGTTTGACATTTGTAACACTTTTTAGCATATCCTCTGCTCACATATGGTCTTCCAATTGAAATGTCTTTGGGTTCACAGGCAAAATTATTTTATGGGATTTTCTTTTAGTTCTTTGAGATTCCTGTAGGTTGATATACTAAACTTGTTTGTTGGTATTCTGTTTGGACTGGTGCCTGGTGGACCTCTTGTAAAGTATTATGCCTCTTTTCATAGTCAATCATTTCAGTTGTCAATCCTTGTTCTTTAAATATCATCGTCTTTTTGCTGTTAGTTCTTCTAACCTTCTTGGAGAATACCGAAAGTGTGATGATTAGAATGGTTGTGACTTGGGCATTTGGTTTACATATTGTGATTAGTCTGAGAGTTGGTAATAGATGTTTTCTTATATTAAATAACGTAATCGTTATGGATAGAATGACCATAAAATTTGTGTAGCACACGGTACACAGGCCTTCTCTCTTTATACCGACCAGTTTCAATCGGTTGAATTTGAAATCGATAGTTATTTTTAAATAAATTAAGATAAAATAAAAAAATGGGTGAATTTTTTGGAATGAAACGATTTTGATAAAAAAAATTATGATTAAATTTTTTAATAAAAAATATAATATATTTAAATAAATTAAGATTATATATATATATATATATATATATATATATTATTTATTCGGTTGGACAGGATTAAAAATTCGTTTGTTATTTTTAAATAATTAAATTTTTATTAAATTAGGATTGAATGAAAAAATTAATTGAGATTAAAAATTTCATTATTTTTAAATAATTAGATTTTTATTAAATTAGGATTGAATGAAAAAATCAATTGAGATTTTGGGTTGTATAGGATAAAAAAATAAATAAGATAATTTTTTTTAATATAATTTTTTAATAAATACGATATAATATATTTTATTTTTTTATTTTATATTAATTAAGTCAATTTTAAATGATAGTTATTTTATTATATTTTTATTTTATTTTAATAATTATTTATTTATTTTATTATATTTTATATTAATAATTTATGGTAATGATAATAATTTTTATTATATTTTTATTTAATAAAAAATAATTATTAATAAATTAATTATATTATAAAAATATTTTTATTAAATTTGATTAAATTCATGTTAAATCGTTAAACTTTGAACCCATGTTAAAATATGTGATACCAATTCAATTTTAAAAACAATATATATATATATATATATATATATATATATATATATATTGTATTTATTATTTTTCATTCTCCCAAGGAAGGAACACTTCATGAAAAGGGTTTTGAATTACCATTTGGTTTGTAAGATGTGTTACTGATTTGTATCACTTTTCATGGACGAGAGAAGCATATGAATTAGGTATCTTTAAGGGAAGTAATTAATATAAGTTATTTCTGAAAAAATATAAAATATTAATTTATTATGTTATATTATTTTTAAGTAATTAATAGTTGATTTTATTTCAATGAAATTTTTTAGTAAATTTAAAAAAAAAACTTATTTTCTCTTCTTATTTATTTTGTTTTATTTATTTTTGTAAATTATTTAATGATATAATTATAAAAAATTAAATAATTTACTATATAAAATTTCTTTAATAAAAAAATATTTGAAACATCACACGAAACAATTCTTTTTAATGATGTTCTTATGACTCTACTTATTTTAAGAATAATAGTTACTGTCAGTACCCTCAATTTTTATAATTAGTTTTCTAGTCTAATAATCTAAAATAAAGACTAAAACTTAATTAAGTTACAAGTCTTTTAATTTTTACTCTTGTACTTGCACTATTAAATTAAATGAATGTATATACATAATTTATTATGGAAATAATTTACGGTTGCCTAGAACAGTAAATACAACTAACAATTAAAGTATACTTATTTTATATTAATGCAATTTAATAAAATATTAGTAATTTAATATCTTTGAAGGTCACGTGCACTATATTAGTAAAAGCCAACCCTCTCCCCTAACTATCTGCTCGAAAATTGGTGAGACATTTTCGAGATTGCTGTTGGTTTTATTACCACAAATTATGATTTATTCATTGTACACAAAACAAACAGTAATATATATCCTCTAATAACATTGACATAAATGTCATTTAATGTTAAAAGTTGTGTAAAAAACTGCATGTTATACTGAGCTGCCACGTTCACAAACTTGCTTGGCATACCCCGTTTTTTTAGTGTTCCACGAATAATAAAAAATGGAAAAAAAAAACTTAAAACAATGGACCCAGATGAGATGAGATCTGTTTACAGGAATATTCTGGAGAATCGAGTGTGACAGAGTTATTAATCAAAAGAAAAGGTACGAAAAGCAATTTAGGAAAAGAAAAGAAAAGTTAAAGGGTGCAAGAAAAGAAAGAAAGGTGTGAGCAGAGAATGGGAGCACGTGTCAGGCACTAGGAAAACGTTGTGGTTGAATGACAGTAACAAATGTCACTTCATGAATGTGTCACTGGTGTCTTCCGACTCCAGATCAGAGACGCATCACATAACACCACCTGAATGCATTTCCTTAAAACGCCCGAAACCTCTTTGCAACAACGATTCCTTAGTTCAAGTTAAATCTCCCTTTGGTCTCCAACACTTCAATTTCACTCTCTCTCTCTCTCTCTTCCTTCACGGTTATAAAGTGGAATAAAAATGGTAGCATCGGACGGTGGCGGTGGTGGGAAATTGACGAAGCTTCTGGGTTTGGGCTATTGGGTGCAAGGATTCAGGTGTTTTCCATGGTTGGTTGTGAGTTTCTACCTCAAGGATGGCCTCAATGTGGACCCTTCCACTCTTCAAATTCTTCAGAATTCTGCCAATCTTCCCATGGTTGGGAAGCCCCTCTATGGCCTCGTTTCAGACTCTGTCTACATCTCAGGCCAGCACCGAGTTCCCTACATCGCCTTTGGAGGTTAAGTTGTCTCCTTTCATTTCTCTATACGCTTTTGTTTTCTCTATCTGATTTGTTCATGTTAAAGACAATTTGCACACTTTTACAGTCGTCAATAGATAGTTGTTGTTCCATGCTTTTGGGATTTGGGAATTGAGAATTGGTAGTGTTGTGTTCCTTCTTATTCTTCTTTGGAATAGATAAAAGAACAGAGCAATGAATGAATTGATCCTTTGTGTGTAAAACAATGAATCAAAGAATTTACTCCTTCAGTGTGGGCTGCTTTAATTGGAAAAAGCACAAAGAAAAAGTAAGATTGAGATTCTGGACTTGAAAAATAAGATAGAGTCTGGTATCTTACTTTTTTGCTTTTGTTGGAACCTATTTGATATAATCCCTTTAGTCTGAATATTTCTGTTTATGGATTCTTTAAATTCTTTTTTATATTGGTGCGTAGTTAAATGGTAAAACATTATCTACTTTTCCTGCACAAAGCCAAAGGATGGAAATGGGTTTCGTACTGAAATTTCGTTTCAACTTGACTATGACAATTGACAACTAACACAAAATCAGTCCATAGGAACTGTAAAATGAGTCGGTGCCATTTTTGGTTGAATATTAAGACAGGAAATGTAAATACTTTGTAAGCTCCCTTCTGAAGGAAACGGGAGATTACAATTCTCTCTAGACAGAGGGCAATGGTCATTCAAATGAATTTCTTTTCTTCGTTTTCGTTTTTCAACAGAAGAAACTTTCATTAGAACGGTGATAAGGAATCATTTCAAGGCAAATATATAATGAAGATAGAACTACATTCAAAATGGCGCTCCCATCCTCTTCAAATTCGCCAAGATGTCTCCTAGATCGAAACCAAGTGCTGATCAGTAGATAGAAGCCAAGAAAATGGCTTCGTCTCGGAGTGTGACTTAGGAAGCAGGACTTCCTTCAAAATCCAAGGAAAATAAGTATATTGGTCTCACTGCCAAAGAATATTTTCCTCCATATTTATTGTAGTTGGTTGTTGAGTGTGCAGTATGACTAAGGAAAGGGAGGCCTTCCTTCATAATCCAAGGAATAGAAGTATGTTGGTGTCACTGCCCAAGAGCATTCCCCTCCTTATATATTCTTGGTGGTTGTTGAGTGTATGGTGGTTTAACCATCAAGGGTTCAAAATTGAGACGGCTGAATCAGCAATATCAACCATTTCCCTTAAGCAATGAGTCTCTATCACATGGAAGTAGTATATTGAGTATTGGTAATTTTTAATTGACACTTTTGTTGTTGTTGTTGTTGAACTTGGGGCTTGTATTGTTAGAAATTGATGATAACATTTACTCAAAAGGCGAACCATTTTTGGACAGTTTCCAAGTACTAGAGCATATGCTACTTAGAATTTGGAACTTTCAAATTGCTGCGCTTTACTCTCTTCTTTCTGACTTTGATTACTTGAAAGCTTGATTTGCTTTGCTGTAATAAGTGCTGAGCCTCCTTGTCAGTTTATCCAGAGATACATGTATCCTACCACAAAATATGTGGATTATGATTGTGAGCTTAAAATTCTTATCTGATATTTGAATCTACGGCCTGTTTTTGTTTCATTCAATGCTACTTAGTGTCTATATATCCCTTGATACCCTCCAGATATTACAACTAATAATTTGTTTCATTTTAACTTAAAACATTGATTTAATTATGCTTACTCCGTCCATATATGTTGGACTTTGGGATCATATTAATTTCAAGCGCAACACAGCATGATTATTTCCATCTTCTTTGATCTAAAACTCTTGGTCCTTTTCCTCATAAGCTATTTCATCTCCTCTCTAATTAGAAAGAACCCCTTATATGCCAATTCTAGCCAAAATATAGACCTAGAGGGAATTGGTGAATGATAATGGTTGCTTACCCCATATAGGGGCAAATAGTTGTATGATTTGATTAATGACTTAGCAATTAGAATGAATAGGGGACCTTTGGTTCCAACATATTGCCTGGCTTGACTTTTCAGGAATGTCCCCCTCTTTTTATTGGTGGAAATTTCGTCCATAGTTTCTTGATTGCTAAAATTGGAATTAGTATTAAAGTTTCTCCATTTAAATTTTCATCCCTAGGATTAGCTTTTGTTTTATTTCTTGATTTTCTGCACGCGGCCTCATTCTTGGATTTTAATATCTTCAATAATATGGAGGAAAAGTCATCAACTTTTAAAACCATTCCAGTTGTTAGAGATATGATCTAAAACCATTCTCTTGTTTTCACTTGATAACTTAAGTTTTGGGTATAGTTGTTTTATGACATGGTATTGGAGCCTGTCTGTGTCCAAGTTGTCTAGACTCTAATAGAGTTCAATCCTTGCCTCTCCCCATTTATTTCTGATAGAAAGTTGAATTCTAGCACAAGGTAGGTGAACTTGTTCATAATCCATGCTTCAAGTCTGTTAGGCTCTTGTATGTAGGGCACGTAGAGATATTATATAAAACCTTTCATTTGTCTTCACCTATTTGGCTAATACTTTGGGATATTTGGTTCATGATACCAATATTCGTAGTTTTATTGCATTTGTAATTTCTATCAGTGATATAACTAATTCCTAAATATTTTTTTGAATCTGTTTTTGCAGCTTTGTTGCAGGCACTGTCATGGCTAATGATAGCAATATCTCCGTCAAACATGTCTATTTTCACTATATCCATATACCTCCTTCTTAGTAATCTAGGTGCTTCAATAGCAGAGGTTGCAAATGATGCCATTGTTGCAGAGAAGGCTAAACAGACTCCTTCCTCAACCAAGCACCCCCAACCATCCTCCTCAGGCAACCTCCAATCGTTTGTTTGGATAGCTTCCTCTGCAGGAGGAGTCCTTGGTAATCTTTTAGGCGGAATTTTTATTAGCAGGTTCTCCCCACAAACCATGTTTTTATATTTTGGCCTTCTCCTTGCTCTACAATTTTTCATAACCATTTCAGTTCGTGAGAGTTCTCTTGGGCTCCCAAAGAGTCCATCTGTTGGGATAAGGAATCAGCTTTCACAGCTATTGGTTGCTCTAAGAAAGCCTGAAATTGCGTACTCAATATCATGGTTTACCGCATCTTATGCCATTATTCCTGCCCTTACAGGCACCATGTTCTTTTACCAAACACAGCACTTGAAAATAAACTCATCAGTATTGGGTATCTCCAAGGTGTTTGGTCAGGCAACAATGCTCCTATGGGGCATCATATATAACCAATACTTCAAATCTGTCCCACCAAGGAAACTGATATCAGCCATTCAAGCTATGATGGCATTCTTCATGATTTCAGATTTCTTGTTTGTTCGAGGTTTTTATCGACAAATGGGTGTGCCAGACTCACTATACGTGGTGATTTTCTCAGGATTCTTGGAGGTTTTATTTTTTTTCAAGATTCTGCCATTCAGTGTCCTAATAGCACAGATGTGTCCACGAGGATGTGAGGGGTCTATAATGGCTTTTCTTATGTCCTCCGTAGCCCTGGCCTTCATTGTCAGTGGATACCTTGGTGTTGCACTTGCATCATATATTAAGATAACAGGAACTGACTTTTCAGGCTTTCCACATGGACTTCTTATACAAGCTGCATGCACTCTCTTGCCAACTTTTTGGTCATCATGGATATCTGATAAGGTAGAATCAAAAGCAAAGCGAAAAGACAAACATAATTAATAACCATTACAGATACAATAATATCTTTGAAGGAAATAGTGTTGTTAAGGTGATGAAGTAACTGATTCTGTTCATTTCATTGCTTTCATGCATCAGCTAGCACATACAAGCTATATCAGTTATTATTCTAGATTTTTTATTCGATATATTTAACAGTGATAGGGTGTAAAGGTGTAGTATGACTACATGAAGATAATGTTCGTCCAAGTAGTGCATTTGTCTCCGATTGAATCTTCCCTTTTCATTTGTTATTATATTTTGGGTCGATTTTGTGTTTTGAATGTTTTATTTATTGATGCAATGAAAACTGAATAAACTGAAAACTCAACAATTAAAAAAAAAAAAATTAAAAATCATTTTTTTATTATTGGATAGTTTAAAAATCTGATTGTATTCATATATTTTTATTGATACGTTTGTATAATTATCACTCAGAGGTATCTGCCCATTAAAAATACATTTAAAGAAATTCATTTCTAACTATTTGAGTAAGATGTACAAATATAACAATCAATCATGTATAAATTTATTATTTATATGGTAGATACAATGATATATGAATGAAGTAATTGATATTTTAATTATTTTTTAATAATCTTTCAAAATATAAATCTAAGATTTAAATTTTTTCTTATTCAACCAACTTTAAATTGGATAATAAAATTAAAAATTTAAATATGAAGTGAAATGGTTAAATTTAACTAATTTTACACATTAATTGATATTTTTTTGTTTATTTTACTATCAATTTTCAATTGATACACACTTTAGTAAACTTGTTAGAAATAAAGAAAAATAAACTCCAAGATAAAGTTTGATTAGGAAACCTGTAATAGTTGACAAAAACACAACTAAATTATCTAATATAATATTATAGATAATATAAGCGATGTGAAGCGTACCGGAATAGATAAAGATAATATTATTTTATGATTTTTTAAAATATTAATATGTCTTATTTCTTCTTTTTTGTACCATAAATTCTTTCTAATTCAAATTTAATCTGGTTAATAAATGAAAACTTATCTTAAAACGTCGAAAGTGTTGTAAACAATATTTTTTTTATTATGATTGTACGAAGAGAAACAATGTTGAAAGGAAAAATAATTACTTAAAATAAAAATAAAACTAATAATATAATAAATATTTTTTACTTATATAAATTATTTTTATTTAACCAATAAAATATACTTTATCTTGTGTTTCACCTAATAATGATAAAAGAGGACATTGTGTTTTATAAATATTTCAAATATGTTGATTTAGATTTTATAATTTAAAGTGTTATGTTGATTTCAGCTATTTTTTTGTTGCAATAATTGGGAAATCAAAGAGTTAAAATTTGAAATATTAAAAAAAAGAGTATTTTAGTAGTATCAAAGTTCAATCTAACTCTAATCATATCAACAATCATGTTTAACAGGCCATTTGCTCACTATTGCAAACTTAATAAATATTGATATCAAATTAATGGATAAACTAAAACTATACATAATTACTAAAATTATATGATTAAAATAATAAAATTGAAATTATAAAAAAAATTCTGATAACAAGAGACTTAAAAATACAAAATTATTTAATTAAGTGAATAAAACTTTATATATATATATATATATATATATATATATATATATATATATATATATATATATATATATTAGGTGTGATTCATGAAATAAAATCAAAGTTTATATTTTTTGGGTAAACAAATATTTGATTAAAAGTGATATTCGCATTATATTATCTTTATTAATATTCAAAATAAAGATTTAAATAATTTAAATTATCAACAGTAACAGTCTATCTTATTAGGATAACATTACAAAAGAGTACCTAAAAAATATGTATGTAACTTTTGTCCTTTTTTTTGTTTGTTCTTTTCGGAATACATTTGTTGAATGCACAAGTTGGGTCTCTGGTCCAGTTGGGGCATTTGGCGAGGGATGCAATCGAAACTGGGGACCTTTTATCACCAATTTCTCATCTTTCCAATCCCCATCAATTCATTTTCCTCCAATTCTAATTAAGGTTTTTCCTCTTCGTTTTATATCTCTCAAATTCTGCTCTTAGGGTTTCGTAAAACAGACCAAAATTCAATTGTTTTAGGTCCGACTGTGAAATCAATTTGTTATTTTTTGGATGAACAATTCTGATTAGATTTTGTCATGAGGTTGAATTCCAAAGTTTGTTATTTAATTGGACAGTGGTTTGCATGTTTCTGAAGCGTCTGTTCCCTCAATTCAAATTCAGAATGGATTTGTTGCATTTCTTTGCATGCTCATGATCAGTTTCCTCCGTGGAATTTCTTGTTTTTGTCCCGTATATGGCCTTGTAACACATCCTTGAGCTAATCTGGTGTCTGGAATCAATGGATTAAGAATGGAAGTGGAAAATTTAACAAATTTTATAACACAAGTGGCGTGATTTGTACAATTATTGGACTGTAGGTGGTGTTTAAGAATCAACACAAGCCCTAGGTTGAACTTGTCACATAATTTGTATTATGAATCTTGAGTTAAGAATTTGTTAAACTAAAATATTTAATTGGATATAAATTAAAGTAATCAGAAGAGCTTGTAATGTCTTGTGATTGCAAAACTTGTGATTAGCATATAGAGCTAAACTCAGGGCTTATGTAATTTATATTTGCTTGCCAGCTGAGAGTGTTTCCGATAAACTCGTGATGGGTGCTCCGAAGCAGAAATGGACTGCCGAAGAGGAAGCAGCACTTAAAGCTGGAGTTATCAAGCATGGTGTTGGTAAATGGCGCACCATACTGAAGGATCCAGAGTTTAGTAGTGTCTTATACCTGCGGTCGAATGTTGATCTCAAGGTCTGGTTATCTTGGTACTTGTGTTTGTTGATGCTATGTTTGTAGAGGTTCATTATTTTATTATCCTTACATTGTAATAAACTGATGTTGGTCCATCTATATTACATGCATAACTTGTTTGTGCGGTTCTGATATGGGGTTTTGGATAGGATAAATGGAGAAATCTGAGCGTGATGGCAAATGGATGGAGCTCTAGGGAAAAGTCTAGGTTAGCAGTCAGAAGGGTGCATCATACCCCAAAACAGGATGAACACTCTATTACTGTCACTCCTGTTGCTCCAAGTGATGAAGACATAGTTGATGTTAAGCCTCTTCAAATTTCTAGAGATGTGCATATTCCGGGTCCAAAAAGGTCTAATTTAAGGTTGGACTTTTTTGTTTTTGTTTTGATATGGTATTCTTTTTATTATATTATATACCTGATTTTCTGGAAAAGTGATGCTTTAGTGGTGCTATTTGCAATTGTTTTCCAGCAAGGAATTGTTACTGGTTAATACCAAGTATTATGGTCATTGTTTAGTTGCTTTGTCTATCATTACAATATATGTTTTACCCTATTTACATTATACAGTTTGGATAAACTTATAATGGAAGCAATCACTAGCTTAAAGGAGAATGGTGGTTCTAATAAGACAGCTATTGCGGCTTTCATAGAGGTATAGTTCTGGGTACTAAGCCTAACTTTTGTTTGTTCTGCTTGCCCTAAATAAATTGCTAAAATAATAAAGCAAGATTGTTCATTCTATGTAAAATTTTCTTTATGGGTAGATAAGGCCTTTTAGTTTAGATCAGTTGGGGAAAGATGTATGGCTAACTAAAAACCTCTGAAGGCTGAAGTCAAAGGAAAACATAAGTGTTGAGAGATAAAATAGTAGTCCTGTTGGATTAAATGTTCTTCTGTAATTGAGGGACTGCTGTGCCATGCTGATCCTGGAGATTGTTTCTCTGGGTCAAATTTAACAACCCTAAAAAATTGCTTTTTTCCATGCTCTACTGTCTCTTCTTCCTACCATTTGTGCACTCCCTTCTACCTTTTCTGTCTTATTGGGTTCAAATCCTATCTCAATCTCAGGCTTTCTCAACTACAGCATTGTGGTGCTTTGTCTTCTCTCTTCTACCTCATCATCTTCTTCTCCTCCCTTTTAGTTGGGATGCTGGGTTCTTGTTTCTTCTGTGTTGGTTGTAGTTCTTCCTTCTACATTGTGCTGTGCTGGAGACGCCGGGACATTTTTCTTATTCTGCCTGTTATTCTGCCTCTGTTCTCTCTTGTTTGCCTCTGGTTTTCGGAACAAAATATGGCAATGCACCTGATTAGGAGTGCTTGCAGGATTTGCTTTAGGGACTTCAGCTAGCTGATTATGAGTCAATTTTGAAAAGCTTATTTTTGTCTTTTTTGTGACTGATTATGAGTTGTTTTGGACCTACCAATTGATTTATATACCTATGAATGAGTTTTTGGTTTTGAAGTTAGTTCGAGCTTATGATTTACAAGATATTTTCCTTATCCTTGTCTTTTTTTTATCGTATGTATTTTCATGTATAATTTGGATACTTCAAGGAGGATCTTACTATCTGTGTGACGATCCTCTTCTGATCCTTAGTCACATCTCAATTTTGACAGCAATGAGGTGACCTATGTTAGCTCAATCAACGGAGAGGTGCAAGTAATCTGCTTTCACAAGATCACAATCTTGACTCTCTGTACATTTAGTCTATTCTATGATCTTTCAATGGTTAAATGATCTTGTCCCCCACCTCTAAAAATGGATATATTTCATATGATTGTGTTAGACCCAGATATTAAGGATGCTTAAAATATGATGATGTTCAAACTTTAAAATAACCAAATTTTTTATGGCTAAGGAATGAATTTATTTCTGTTTGTTAGTGTCAAAACTCCCATTTTTTTTGGGGTACATTTCAAATTTCCATTTGATACAGTACTGCTCTGCTTCGAACTCATGATATATGTATATTGTTACTGTGTTTAATATCAGTTGAATTTCATTGCTTTGAAATCTTCAGGACCAATATTGGGCATTGCCTGGCTTAAAAAGGATGTTGTCTGCAAAATTAAAGTTTTTGACAGCAAGTGGAAAACTGATCAAGGTATATTGCTACATGTATAATTATGTCACGGCTGATATGCATCTGACACACAATAAAAGTTGTTGCCGCATTTACTTTCGTTTTTGATGAATGATCTCTCGAGATGAATGCAAAATGAGTCTCTGGTTCAGGCTTCTCTAGTTAGTTGCATATGAGAAATGGAATTCCTATTAATAGTGAACTAGGCTCTCTTCTCTAATCTGCATGACTCTTACGAACGGGCTTTTCTCTGAGTTGAGTGGTATGAAACCCAGTTTCTTCATTCACATTGTGAATGAAGTGCTTTTTACAACCTTATGGGTTAAATGTAGGAGCATGAATATTGAACGAGATTGAAATATGGAACTTTCATTTAAAGGAGTGGGCATCGATTTGATTTAACTATTCCATGGACAAATGCTGAAGCATTTACTCTAACCTCTGTTTGATTAGACAAACTCTGTAGTGTTACTCATTATAAGAGTGACGGAAGTGGGTGGGGTGGAATTTGGGCTTTATGACAGGACAATAGAGTTAGGGGAGATGACTGAAAATGAATAAGTAGAGATGTGGGTAAAGCAATTGAAAATAGTGATTTTTGACAAGTTAAAACAGTAAGAAACAATTCTAATTGGCTTATTATTCAGGATTCATAATTTCGTATAATCTATTTGAAATCAATTGTTGTTTTTGCTGCTTATATTTAAATTTTAGTTGGCATTTTATATATTTAGATTTCATGCGAACTTTACTATTATTGTGGATGTTGTCTCATTTTGTGACGGTTATATTAAGTTGTTTCTATTAGAGATCTTAGTGTTGGGTTGGCTTTGATATATCAGGTAAATCGCAAGTATAGGATTGCGCCTATAGCAGCATATTCTGACAGAAGAAGAAACTCATCCATGTTATTTTTTGATGGGAGGCAGAAAACCTCTATGAAAATTGAAAAGGATGAGACCAACATCCTTACTAAATCTCAGATAGATTTAGAGTTAGCAAAGATAAGGTCCATGACTCCACAAGAGGCAGCTGCATTTGCTGCTCGTGCAGTTGCTGAAGCAGAAGCCGCCATAGCAGAAGCAGAAGAGGCAGCCAAGGAGGCTGAGGCAGCAGAAGCCGATGCAGAGGCAGCACAAGCTATTGCAGATGCTACAACGAAATCAGGGAAAGGAAGAAAGTCCCCAAGGAGGGTAAAAACTCTTCCTTCCCCCTCTTTTCTCCTTCATGACACTAAAATACATCTGTAGAGCACCTAGGAAAATTCTTTTTTAATGCAACTTAGAAGTAAAATGACAGAAACACAGATTTTTATTTAAATATGCTTAGGAAATGTGAATTTGTTTTATTTTTCATATAACCTAGTCAAGAGGGAACGGAACTGAGCAAATCAGCTTCCCATATTGATAAGACAAGTGATTTGGTTTAGGAGACATTCCATTTTGCTGCTTAGTGATCCCCTGTTCTCAAAATAAAATATTGTAGTATTGTAATTCTTTGGCATTTTTAAACGTGTAGATCCATGCTTGATGGAAGTTTGAAGAATTAGACAGTAGGAGAGATGAACCGTGGCATTGAGTAGGGCAGGCAGCCAGCTACATATCATTTGCTGGCATCGTCTACATTTTACACATAATATTTGAGGCTCTTCTTGTGACTATTCAGGTTTCACCTTGTTTAGGAGATTGTTCTGATTTTTGGGTCTTGAATTATCCTTCTTGTAGATAGAAGCATTGTTTAAATCTTTATTGTAATTTCTTTAGAGCTCTGTCCATGTACCCATTTACAGAGAGTAGATGTTTAGATGAATGGGAATTCCTTCAAATTTCTTCTGAAACATAATGGTGCATCCTTTCACGTGTTAGAAAGCGTATTTAAGAGTTAATAGTTTTATGTCCTTCATTGGAAGGAACCATGTGCTTTTCATTTCTGGATTTAGATTGTATATCTATAAATAAACTTTTTCTTATGCAACGGGTCAAATAAATCAATTTGATGAGGGTACTAGTGATAAGATTAATTTTAACTATATATATATTTTTTTATTTACCTAAAGGGTATATGGCCCTACACAATACCTTAATAAAGAACAAGATATAAGGATGTGTTTGATTGTGCGTGCGTGTGTGTATTTTTTTTTATTAAAAACATTATGGAAAATAATTTTAAAAACTAATTTATGGAGACAGTGGAGTGGGACATTTTATCTGAACAACCAAACAGCAAGTTAAATTTTGGGTTGCGGATAACCGATTTTATTAATCGATTTCTCACTAGTTTTCATATTCTTAAAATATTAAAATTTTGTTATCCATTCTAGTAAATTATAATCAATTGTATAAATTTCAATTAATATTAAAACAATTTAAATCGTTTGTTAAATATATTTAAATTTAAGATAACTTAAAAAATTAAGTCATTAAATACGCATTTCTAATTAACATACGTTATTTTTAATTTAATAATTTTAAATAATTAAAATTAAAGTAGAATATAAATTATTAAAATAAAATTTAAATCTGAGAAAAAATATTTTTGATTTTTTCAATTATTTTATTTAAATTTTGTTGATAATTATAAGATTATGTATATACTTTTTTAAAAGAAAAAAATAACAAATATTTATGTAAAAGATTAATTTGAAAGAATACAAATGTGTTTATTAATAACATTTTTAACTTAAAAAGTAGAGATAATCAATACTAAATGAGTTTGATAAAAGATTGAATAATGAATTAATATATTATACACATTTTAAATGATTTTTTATGAAGATGCGAATATATATGGTTATTCAATTTTGCATAACTTCTTCAAGTAAATATATAAAATTATGTATTAAACAACCCAATTGTATTTGTTAATATTTAAATTAAAATGAGATTAAAACAATAATTAAAAATTATTTAATATATATATATATATAATACAAATTAAATTATTTATGACTAAACTTAATATTTTACTCTTTTATCAACAAAATTATTTTAATTCAATATGTAACTTAAATATTAACTAATACAACTGAATTATTCAATTACTAAATTTTATATACATTTTCTAAAAGAAATTCGTAGATTAAATAATCATACATATATACTTACAATCATTGACAAAACTCATTCAAATTTATTAAATAAAAACTTATTCACAAAAATAAATTTTATTTTGGTAATAATATATATTTTATCTGAACTAATTTTAATCATTTAAATTTGGTAAAAATAATTTATTAAATCCTAAAAAATAGCATGACATTATAATTAGAAATAATTAATCACTATATTTTTTAAATTAACTTAAATTTAAATTTTTTAATAATTATATCAAACAATTAAATAATTAGAAAACTTATTCAGAAATAGTAAATATTATTTTAATAGTAATTAGAGATTATTTTAATTAATTTTAATTACTTATAATAAATAACCAAAATGCAATATTAAAAAGATTAAAACAGGTAAAAAATACGCTAACTACCAATCGATTTCTCTTTTAAAATATAAAATAAAATAAAAACCAAATGAGAAATTAGCTATCCACCAACCTTTTTTCACTATCTGTAATAAACTATATTAAATAATATATAAATATTTATTAAATAGATATTTTTAAAGATATTATTTAAAATTTTTTTTATCCTCATATATTTTTAAAACGTCTTTTCAATTTCTATATTTTTGAATTAACAAATTTTATCTATTAATTTTTAGAAACATATGATTTTAAACATCGAAATTGAATATTTAGCTATTGTTTTTTATAGTCACAAAACATATATGCAGATTAAATTTATAAAAGATTTAATTTTACTCATTATTTATTTTTAAATTTACTGTTTAATAAGAATTTTTTTATCATTAATTTAATAAAAATATAAATTCATATATATATATATATATTAAATTTGATTACAAATTAATAAAACAAAAACTATTTTTAAAGAAAAATATAGGGAACGTATTTAATCCAACAATAATTGGTAGTGCAAATTTGAATGAGTTCTCAAAATATTATATAAAATAACAATTTAAAATGAGATAAATACACTGATCAAGAAGCAGCTTTTTCGTTGGAGCTAGCCATTTACAGCAGATAGGATTTTACTTTTCTTTATCCAAAATCTTATATATATATATATATATATATATTATCAATTCTTATAATTTTAAATGTTTTGTAAAAATGAAGAAATTTCTTTTCAATTTATTAGACCCTCAAAGTCATTTATCATATAAATTTTTTAAATAACTCACAAATATGATGTGAATGATGTCTCATTCTGTGATTTTGTCAGAAGAACATGTACGTGGCTGTTCAAACAGAAGGGATAAACACGTGTTTTCATGATGCTGACGTGAATATTGATAGGAGTGTGATGGGAAAACCTTGTCAAATACGAAAAGGCACGATGAAATCACACGTGATAATATTATGGTATCTCATGTTGAATCATTCTGTAGAATTACATATAAATTCGATATATTTAGCATACAAAATATTTTATTTGTGACCACATTTGTTGTGAATAAATGATAGGCAATTTTATATATATTTTTTATTTTTTTCTCCATAAAAAAAGTATCAATTTTAATATATTTTATTTGATTATGTTATATTGAATTATGGATAATATTATAATTAATTATTTTATTCAATTATAGTTTAATATAGAATGTAAATGGTGTTAGGTTCAAGGGGTCTGTAAATATGTTGATCTATTTTAAAATAATATTTATATATTAAAATAAAAATATATTTTTAATTAAAAATATTATATATTTTTATTATATTATTGAGATATTTAAATAGTTTAAATTATAAAAATTAATTAATTAAATTATTAATTATAAATAATTATTTTGACACATAAATGTAATAATTTTTTTAATTTATCTAATAAAAATATTAATTAATAAATAAAAATTTAAAAATTATTTATATAATTAAAGATATATATTTTTTAAAAATATGTATAAAAAATTTTATATATATAAAAAATATTAACGAGTTGGGATCTGCAACCTGTCGTGATTATGACGGGTCAGCTCGTTGTTCTTCATTTTTAGGTAGCAGACCAAAACAAACAGACCAATTTATTTTGTCATTCCTTAATGAGTTATATGAAAAATATTTAAGATCTTTTAAGAAGAGTTTTAGCTAAAAGATTTAAAATTTTTTAAATGTTAAACCTCTAAACTTTATCTTGTGCACTTGAGTAAGAAACATCATTTTATTTATTGTTTCTTCACATAAACAAATATAAAATAGTACAATATTGATCATCTATCTTTTAATAATCTAGTCTAATTAACATCATTATATATATAGTGTTGATTATTTATCTTTTAATAATCCAGTCAAAATAACATAGGTATATATATATATACATGTTGACAATTTATATTTTTTTATGAATAATAATCCTTTTTGAGGTACTAACTTTAAATATATTAAAATATGTATAATTGCATTCATATGTTACTCATCATGATTATGTATAAATTGATTGACAATACTTACAAGTAAGATCTTATCTTGTATGTGTTAAATATATCAATCTCCATATAAGTCTTTAATATTTTTTTCTTTATCAACTAGGGCTTGATATGATGTAGTAAATAACTTTAAATCTTTTTCATTAGTGTATTAGTTGACTAATAAAGAAACACATTTGTTTCTTGCAACAAGTATATAGCATATTTTCTTTGAGACAATTTTTTTTTATTGGATCTTGATATTTCAATCCCTATAAAATATTTCAAGAAACCAAAGTCCTTCATTTTAAACTTTTTTCATAAATACTCTTGTAATACTTTACTTTCCAATAGATCATCCTGTAAGAAACATATAATTCACATATAAAATAATTGCAATGATCTTATCTTTTTGTTTATTTAAAAACAAAGTATGATTTGAATTACTCCGATGATATTTAAATATTGTTATAAATTTTGTAAATCTTTTAAGTTATATTAGTGGAGATTGATTTAACCATAGAAGTATTTTTTTTTATTTGCATATAATTTTTTTAAGTTTTTCTAGTGAAATATTAATGTGAGTTCCATATACACGTCTTTAATATTTTTCACATCAAATTATTTTAATGATTAGTCCGAATTTGCTGCAAAAGATAATAATACTTGTCGACAATGTGAATTTTTCTTAAAGAAATAAATATTTTTTATATTCAATCGCATATGTTTAAATTTATCTAGACTTTCTTCACGTCTTTCTAATAATTTGTTTTGTATTTAATAGTGAAATTCACCATCCTAGTTTTTTTTTCAACATCTAACTAAAATTCAAGTTTCATTAATTTGAAATTCTCTTTTAGGACTAATTACAATATACAATTTATTTATAAATATTTTATTTGTTTCTAATAATTTATAATTAAATATATAATAAATATTTAACTTTATTATAGGATTCGGCTTCATAAATAAATTTAAAAATATTTACAATAAGATAATTGGATAATATTTTTTAGTTGACAAATAATTTATAACATCTTTTATTAAAAAAAATTATTTGATACTTAATATTATCTCCATATACAGAAATTTAGAACACATTTCAATATTACATCCGTTAAAAATGCGACTCAAACTTCGATATTATCTCAATTATAGGTTCATAAGAAATTTCTATTCAATTTAATAAACCCTCAAAAAGTCATTTAAAATATTTGAAATCATCGTTTATAAATTTTTAAAATAACCGACAAATCTCACGTGAATGATGTCTCACTCGTTGATTTTGTCAGAAGAACATATACGTGGCAGGTTCAAACAGAAGGAATAAACACGCGTTTCCATGATGCTGAGTGAATATTGCATATAAAGAGAGTGAATTTGCAGTCCAAGTTAAGCAGAGAGAAAGATTGGAGTGTGTAAGCCATGGAGGGTGGTTCAAAGTGGTTAGTGTATGTTGCCGGTGCTGTTCTTGTCCTGAGGTTCATTCTCAGGAATGTAAACTGGTTTCTGTATGAATACAAACTGGGTGAGAAGCAATACTTTCTTCCCCCGGGTGACATGGGGTGGCCCATAATCGGCAATACATTGTCCTTCCTCAGTGCTTTCAGGTCCAAGAACCCTGAGTCTTTCATGGACTCCTTTTACTCCAGGTACACCATTCACTCTTCACCAACCTTTTCATTTTCACCACTCACTGTATCTCATGCATGTTATCCAAACTCTTCACTGTTAACATCTCACTCATCATTTCATATACATTATCCAAACTCATCTTTGCCATAACTTACTTTAATAACAACTTATGATCTCATGCATGTTATATCCAAACTCTCAGTTACTGAGATCTGACTCATGATCTCATATAGTAGACATTTTGTCAAAACATGCAAGCAAGTTTTCCTCTAAAATCAAGGTTTTCGACACAAATCAAACATCACCCTCATGATTGCTCTTGATCCAGAGCTTAAAGTTTACACAAATCAAACTTTATTTTCTTGATCTAAATTTTGGTTCTCAATTTTCGCTACGGAAAGAAGTGGACAAACCATTTTTTAATGTTTTCTATTCCATGACAGTTCCTGCATAAATTTTCCTCGTTCTCTGAAAGAATACATCACCATCAACTTTTAAAATGCGTTTGAAAGCATATATTCAGTTGTGCTCTCACACAAAAACGACTCTGAATGTGGACCACCGGTGATTAAAATGGTCCAGTCCAGTCCAACAGCTGTAACATAATTTGTTGCGGTGATTTTTGACCCCTAGTGCAGGGGTTCACCTGACTTTTGTAATTAATTTAAAAATCATAATCCACTTTCAAACAAAATTGTGCTAAGACCAAAAACCAGGGTGCAGTATAAAAATTGAGGATGAAATAATGCATTCGTCAGTATCTTTTTCACTTCTAATTAATATTTAACTGTCTGTTAAAACAGACAGATATAGCAAAGGTTATATCTGTCTGTTTTACACAGGTTTTAATATCTTGTAATATATATTACCAATTCTGCAATAATTTAAAACCTAAGAAAAGCAATGTTTATAAAATAATATAATAACGTGAAGATCATTGCATGCATGCATGAACCATGAAGTAACAACGTGACGTACATTTGAATGCAATGAACAATGCAGGTATGGAAAGACTGGAATATACAAGGCGTTGATGTTTGGAAATCCAAGTGTAATCGTGACAGCACCAGAAACATGCAAGAGGGTGTTGACAGATGATGTCAACTTCATTTCTGGATGGCCACGTTCCACTGTAGAACTCATGGGAGAGAAGTCTTTTATTTCAATACCTTTCGAAGAACATAAACGCCTCAGGCGCTTAACATCTGCTTCAATCAATGGCTATGAAGCACTCTCTTGCTACATAAAATTTATTGAAGAAGTTGTCATAAGTTCATTGGAGAAATGGACCACCATGGGGGACATTGAGTTTTTGACTCATCTGCGCAAGCTTACTTTCAGAGTCATTGCACATATTTTTCTGGGTGAAGAAAGTCAAGATGTTCATGTCATGGAGAATTTGGAAAAAGAATTCGCAGAGCTTAATTATGGAATTAGAGCCATGCGAATTAACCTTCCCGGATTCGGATTCTTTAAAGCAATGAAGGTAACTTATTTTCATCACGAGAATATATTTTTTAACAGGTATGATTAAAAGTAAATTAAGAAATATATTTTTATTATGAAATCAAAATGATTAAATAAACTTAACTAACATTCTTTGTATGTAATTTTTTTTGTATTTGAGTTTAGAGTGAGTCCTAATAAATTGTTTGTTAATTAGTCTTAATTTAATTTGTTTGCCTCTGATGTGAATAAAATGCAGAGTAATGTTTTTGCATTGCACTATAGCTACAAAATATTGACAGAGTTCTCGTAGTCTTGACTTTGTTCTCCAAATGAAGCACAAGTCTCTTTCAATATGTTACTTATTGCCGTAAACCTTGAAGTACTTTTTTAGATGCAATGCAATATCTTATGGTTTAATTTTATTTTTATAATTTTAGGCAAGGAAAAATCTACTGGCCCTATTTCAACCTGTTGTGGATAAACGATTAAATGAAAGGAGGGGAAATTTCATCGGCAAAAAGGAGAAAGATATGATGAATGCTCTGATAGATGCTGAAGATGAAAATGGAAGAAAATTGGGTGCTGATGATATCATTGATATCTTGTTGATGTACTTGAATGCTGGTCATGAATCCTCAGGACATATCACCATGTGGACAACCTATTTCCTCAACAAGCATCCAGAAATTTACAAGAAGGCTAAGGTACAAAGTTTCTTAATACTCATTAATTCATCTAAATTTGCATTTGATAATGGACATTAAACATGAGTATTTACAACATCACCTTGAATATGTTTCTGTGTCCTACCCCTTACTCTCAACCCAACAAATTCAACCTTACTTCCTACCATTATTTATTTGCTTAAATAGGCAGAACAAGAAGAAATTGTAAGGACAAGGCCTCCAACGCAGCAAGGGTTGTCACTAGCAGAAGTTCGGAAAATGGAATATCTTTCCAAGGTGGATGACATTATATTGTTGATTTTAGGTTGATTTCAACTTATAATTAACAATGTTGTGATTATATGATACATCTGTTTTGATTTGTTCACGTTGACAGGTGATTGATGAAACATTGCGGTTGATTACATTCTCACAATCGGCCTTTCGGATGGCAAAATCTGATATCAATATCAATGGTTAGTCCTATATTTAGATCATAATCTATATATCACTCCAATCAATATTGTAATTATCTACTTGTTTGATGAATGAAGACTCCAGTTGTGCTGTGAGTTTTGTAATTCATTACCTAATAAGCTCAACTTCCAGGATATTCCATTCAAATCTTTAACACCATAATTTAAAATAATTCATTGAACTATGCACTCACTGCATTTTGATGTTACAGGTTACCTGATTCCAAAAGGTTGGAGAGCAGTTGTCTGGTTCAGGGCGATTCACCTCGATCCCGAGATATATCCTAATCCAAAAGAGTTTAATCCTGAGAGATGGAATGTAAGTTGCATAGATTTATTTGACACATTCATTAGGTTCTATTTGTTCTGTACTTTCATGGGAACTTTATGATATATTTTGTAAATTTTATTGATCGATGATCATTAAAAAATCACAGAAGGTGCACAAGGCTGGAGAATTTGTTCCCTTTGGAGCAGGAAGTAGACTGTGTCCTGGGAATTATCTTGCCAAGGTGGAAATCTCAGTTTTCCTTCATCATTTTCTGCTGAACTATGAGTAAAACATCTTCTCCCTCTTTATGCCATTTACATTATATTTTTCATACAATACCTCCATTCTAATTTCTCTTCCCTTATAAATGGTGCATACACCCGTGTCGAAGACCATTTTTCTGCAATTTAATAAAAGGGTCCGCTCTGTTTGGCTTAAGAATTAAACTGGAACAATGCTGACTGATTTCCATGATTGTTGCTTTTTAGAGAGCTAATTTATTGATTGTAACAACAAATATTGTATTGACAAATGTTGATGTTATGTCTTACTGACACAGGCTTGAACACCTTAATCCTGAATCCCCTCAGAGATACCTCCCTCACCCGAGGCCCGTGGACAACTGCATGGCAAGGATCAAGAAAGTGAAGTAATAATGGGGTGTTAGTTCCTTCCATGGAAAATGTGACGCATGTGACTGTGGCTCTTCTTAGTATAAGAACCTTTCTTTAAGCTTCCCATCAAATGAGCATGTGACCATGACTCTTCTTAGTATCAAACTTTTATGTTAGCTGCTGTCTTGTCTTTTTTATCCAACTTGCGAGAATAAACCAAGGATTCTATTAAGTTATGTTCCGTTTCCTAGTATTCAACTTCTGCATGCAACTGGGGGTAATCTTTAACTACAAACAATTATGGGAAATGCTAGCAGCGTTTATGAAACACCAACTCTACCTAAATAGACATAACTCAAATCCATCCCAAAGATAGGACACTAGAATCCAATTAATATACAATTCACTAAGTGTGTTAAGACATAATGAATTCTTAATTATTATATACAATGATCAATTGTGACTTTTTGGCAAGCGCACTTTTAAAACAAGTAAGAGTATCAAAGTATAAATGGAAGGACTTACATAGTAAAAATTACACTTAGTTTAATCTATTAAGCTTAGATTGAAAAAAAAAACGATTTAATAATTGAAATTTTGAGTGCAATATTATAAAATTTGACAATGATAATAATTTTGTTATATTTGGACTAAAGAAATATTAGATTAAAATGGATATATTCCCAACCTCATTCTCTTGGTCTATTGAGTTCATTAAATAAAGTTTTTCTCTTTATTGTCATTAATTTTTTCTCATAAATAATAATATTCTAATCCTTTAAAGTAAATTCTAAATATATCTATCAACTCAATAGAATAAACTTGTTTTAAGTTCAAAGATGTAAAGATGATCGATAACTCATTTTATATTCTTAAAATAATTTATTAATTATCTTATTTTAAGTCAAGAACTTATAATAATTTTTTAATATCTTACAAATACAATTAATTTATGGTTGATTAAATTACAATAATTAATAAACATAAAGATACAATAAAAATAAAGAAGAGAAATTAAGACTATATATAATAATAATAATAAAAATGTATCTATTTATCTCTCTCTCTCTCTCTCTCTCTCTCTCTCTCTCTCTCTTTATATATATATATATATATATATATATATGATTACATCTAACCCCAATAAAAGAACTTAGCTATTCATGGTTTTAAATAGCATGAAAACAAAACAAACACTACTAGAAAAAATAGAATTAGCCACCGAAATTAGCGACCGAATTTTTTCGGTCGCAATTAGCGACCGATTTAGCGACCGATTTAATTTTAGTCGCATTTAGAGACCGATTTAGCGACCACTTTAATTTCGTCGCAATTAGCGACCGATTTAACGACCACTTTATTTCGGTCGCAATTAGCGACCGAAATAGCGACCAATGTTTGTGCGTCGCAAATTTTTGGTCGCTAAATCGGTGGCTATTTCATACATAAATAAAAAAATCATTTAGCGACTGATTTAGCGACCGAATTACAAATTGAAATAGCGACCGAATTAAAATCGGTCGCTAATGAGAAAATAATCCATGATTATATCTGATTTTTTCAATATCGCTGAAGCAAAAAAAACAACGCTCGAGCGACACCTCCTGCACAAAATTGACATTCTCGGGTTGTATTTCGCTTGAGCGACACAACTCTCGCTCGAGCGAGATCCGATTCAAACATGAGGCACCCAAGTTACATTTACGCAGGTCAACATTCGCTCAAGCGAACATAACATCGCTCGAGCGACGCCACCTGCACAAAATTGGCATTCTCGGGTTGTATTTCGCTTGAGCGACACTTCTCTCGCTCGAGCGAGATCCGATTCAAACATGAGGCACCCATGTTACATTTACGCAGGTCAATATTCGCTCAAGCGAACATAACATCGCTCGAGCGACGCCATATTTTAGATAGCGGTTAAGGTTTAACCGCTATTAGAAGTGCCTCTTTAAGAGCGGTTCCAGTGGAACCGCTATCATATACAACCATATTTTAAGTTTCTGATCGATTAGATTTTCAAAATGATCGATCATATTTGATAATTTTTTCAAATAATTAATTATAATCGATTAGTTTTCTAAATTATTGATTAGAATTGATTAGTTTTTCAAATAATAGATTAGAATTGATTAATTTTTGAAATATATATTAAAAAATTATAATTAAAAATATAGATTATTTAAGAATATTAACTATTGTAAAGATAAAGTTGAACATGGGAGGAGATGAGGATGATAATATAATGATAGAAGTTACAAAAATGTAGAATTGAGAAGTTTGAAACAAAAAAAATTAAGAAAATAGAGATTTAATTACACTTTTAATAAATTGAAGATAATACTAGTTTTGATTTTTATTTTTAACTATTTATTTTAATTATTTAAAACAGAGAAACTATAATTTTAGTTTCTAAATACTCAATTTAAAGAATTAAATTCATTATTATTTAATCTTTTAATTTTAGTATTAAAAATTTAAATTATATTTTATTAAATTAAAATAATTACAATATAATTTTCTACTTTGAGAATGAACAATATAATTAAACTCAAAATTGACAATATTATAATACATTTTTGAATTCTTTTGGATTATTTTTTTTTCCTAATTTTTTATAAAGTTAATTTTAATATTTAAAAGTATTTAACATTTTGAATTCTGAAAGGTTTTCTCTAATAGCAAATTTAAAAACATAATATTCAAAAAAATAGTTAATGTTGAAAGTGATGAAGATCTTATTGAAATACATCGACAAAGATCTCATTGATTTGATGAAGTCGAAGATGAAATCAAAAGCAACTTTGCAGTGGACAAAAGTTACTAAGATAAAAGTGTAGAAAAATTAGTGTGTCCGCAGCTATGCTTAGGTATAATCATTTTATCTTTTCTGCTGCATGGGGTTTCTTCACTTAAAAGATTTTGCAAAATGCCTCTAAAAATCTTTTAAACAATAAAAAACAAAGTATTTTGACAAAAGCTTTCTTAAACATTTTTTATAACTGATACAGCTTTGATATAACCAATTAAAATTACTTAAAATGTTAAGTGAAATGTTTTTACAATATTTTAATCGATACAACTTGATTTTAATCGATTAAAACCACTTAAGAGTTCAGGATGATCGATCAGAATTGAGCTATGACCGATAAGAACTTTTTCAATCGATTAAATCTCGTTTCAATCGATTAAAACAATTTAGAAATTCCCTACACAGAGTTTTAATCGATTAAAACTTATTCTTATCAGTTAAAATAACTTGAAAAGTTTTACAAGAAAGTTTTGCAGTATTTCAATCGATTGAATCGCTAAACAATCGATTAAATCAACTTAGAAGATTTTTTGTAAAGTGTTTTAATTGATATAAACGTTGTCGTATCAGCTTAAAACAAATCAGTTAAAGAATCAAGAACGTATTAATGGATTAAAAGAAGTTTTAACAGATTAAAACTGCACT